TAAGAGCGGGAGTGCGTATGGGAGCCGGGCTTTGGACAGCAACGGTAGGAGGACGAGAGGGTGTGGCAAGTGCCCGCAGGAGAGCGGGGGCGGGAGTACCACTGTTGCCCCCTGGAGGCCAACCCTCCTCCCCTCCTTTTCCATGATGGCGGCCCCTGCCTGGCCCCCCATGACCAGCGGGCCCCTCTTCCCCACCTGATGTTGTGGCTGTGCCCCTCAAGGGTCTGGACGCACGCTTTGGTCTGGTAGTCCCACACCTACGTGGTGATTCAGTGTTCGTGTGTGTGCGCGCTTTGGTATGATGTGGAAACGCATGAGACGGCATCTTCCGCCATTGGCCAGGCGCAGACGCCGCATCTAGGCCGACGAGAGCTGTAGTTGTCGAGACGAGGGGGTGAAAGGCCGCCTAGGCGCGCCCATGGCGCCCGGCCGGGTGCCGAACTGCCCTTGGGGCGGCACCGAGTGAGAGGAGGGGATCGCAATGCAGGCGGCGTGGCAGGCACTCTTGGTCACCTTGGCGAGCTTGTCGTCGGCGCCAGACACCAGGAAAGGCCTGAAGCGCGCGGTGCGCGCAGCCGGGGCGCGACGGGGGAAGGTGGTGTGAGTGTGCGGGGCACAAAGTCCCAGCTTTCACCGCGGCGGACCTTGCCAGTGCCCCTGGCGCTGCCGCCCGCCAGAGGCTGATCTGATCCACAAAATGCAGCTTTGAAAGGCGCATGCAATCAGGCGCGCGAGGCGAAATGCGCGTCCCCCCCAGCGACGCGCATTCTCCCGAGGCCCCTGCCCCCCCACCTGTCACCCCCCGTGAAGTAGTCCACGCAGTTTACGCCCTTCTCGTGGCCCTCCAGCGTGAAGTTCGGGGTCGGCTGCCCCAGGCTCCACACCTGCCAGCAAGGATGAGAGGGGGGGGGGTGGCGGGGGTTGCGCAGCGGCCATAAGCGCAGAGGTGGCACCAGCCCAGGTCGCGAGCCGCATGGCAAGCCGGGCTGCGGCTTTGGGCCTGTTGAGCGGTGAGTTGCGCGGCTGCGCACCTTGATCGTGCGGTCCAGGGAGGCCGAAGCAAAGGTGTTGGTGTCCTTGGGGTTGAACACCACCTGGCGGGGGCGCCCAAGGGCGGCGGGCCGGTTGCGAGGTGGGGGCTTTCAAAGGTGCCGAGGGGGCCGAAGCCGGGGCGCAGGCGGCGCACGTGGGGAGGGGGGCCGGACAGGGCAGGGCAGGGCGAGGCCCTGCGGGGGGCGTGCTTGTCGGCTGAGTGCCGCATCCAGGTCGACACGCAGCGGCGGCCCCGCACCCAAAACAGCAAGCTCCACACCTTGGAACATGCAGGTGCTGCCCCACATGGCGCTGCACGTGCCTCTTGCGCTCCCCCCGCCAAGTCCCTCCCGCTCCTCAGACAACAACCACACCCCCACCTGCATCACGTAGTGCGAGTGGCCCTCAAACACCTGCACGCAGGCCCAGGCCTTGTCCCAGTCCCACAGCTTGATGAGCATGTCGTCGGATGACGTCAGCAGGTAGGGCAGGCTGGGGTGCACAGCAATGGAGCGGATGTAGTCGGTGTGTGCCTCGAACGTGCGGACCTGCGGGGCGAGCCATTGTTGTGATAGTCGGAGAACGGGGAAAAAGGGCGTGCGGTGTCTGCTGTGATGGGTGTGCCTCATGCGCCCTAGCGCCGTCGCCTGCTCCCTGCAGGGCTGCGGCAACACAAGGCGCTGGCACTGACAGCTGCCAATATTCACTCGCGGGCGTCACCGCCGCGGCGTCCAGGCCGGCCTCCCATTGCATCACACCCGCCTCCTGCAGCTGCCTCGGCTGCCGACCACTGAAACCACTGCCGCGACCGCACACTCCTTCTTGGTACTGCGGTGGCACCGCCTAGGTCGCCTGTGCCGCCGCGCCCTCGACAGCCGCCCAGATCTGCTGCCTGCCGGCCCAGCCTCCAGCCACATGGCGGCCATAGCTGCTGCAACAACCAGTAACCCGCCACCCGCAGCCCTAGGCCTGCATGTCCACCCCAGTGCTCTGTTCCCGATCCGTGGCCTGTGCCCCCCGCTTCCCAACCAGGCCCAGCGACCGACCTTGTCCATGGTATTGTAGTTGTAGACGCGCACCATCATGTCATCCGCCCCGACCACAATCCACTGCTTGCGCGGCACAAACTTGGCGGTGCGCACTGCGGGGAAGAGGGGCAACGGCGGGCCGTCGCTGCAAAGCGCGGCGAGCGGCACCACAGGGGCAGCCGCGGCCGCGGCTCTGGCTGGCACGGCTGCCACCTGGCGCGGCTGCGATCAGCGCAGGTGGGCTGCCGCTCCAAGCGGTGTCACTGCTACGCCCCATGCAAACGCAACGCCAGCTGCCGAATCGGGCAGGAGGGTAGGGCGCCCACCTGGCAGCTCCGTGACCTCGAAAGACTTGACCAGGGTCTGCGCGGATTAATGCAGGCGAGGCCCATGTGTGTGAGGAGCGAACTCGCCCACTAGCATGCAAGAGGGCATCGGTGCCCGTGTCGCACATGCTGGCGGAGCGCATAGCCGCGACAACCGCAACTGCTGTGAGCGCGCAGGGCTGATATGTGGTAGAAACACGCTGCTGCGAACGCAGCCGATGCGGTGGGTCATTGATGCAGCGACCACAGCCGCCGTCGGCTGCAACTGAGCTGGGGCGCCGCGGTGGCGTGGCGCCGAGCGGATGCCGGCCGCCAAGGCGCGGCAGCCGGCGCTGCACCAGCAGGCCCCTCACCGAGTCGTTGTAGTTCCACAGGTACACGTTGCCATTGTACAGGTTTGCCAACAGCCTGCGACACGAACAAACCCACGTCCGTCAGCATCCGGGCACCGCGCTGCGGCTGCCTCATCACAAACGACAAAGGCGCGCCCGGTCGCTGCCGCTGCTGACCCCGCCTGGCGCCGCACCATGGCTCGGTGGGATGCAGGTCCACGCCCTTCACACGCTCCGTCCGCTGCACCAGCTGCTTCTGTGGGTAATGATCAAAGGCAAACGGATGCAGTGAGAGGCAGCAGAAGGTGAGGGGTGGTTGAGTGCATGATCTGGCAGCTCAATCCTACAGCAGCCCAGCCTCTCCGCACCTTGACATCAAGCCGAAGCGGCTGCGGAGCACAGTGGATCAATGTGACCGCGATCCAGCGATCGAGTCAGTAAGGGAGGATTATGGGCACCATCGGGGCAGCGAGAGACAGCAGCAAGGCAGCAGCAGCACCGTACCATCGTGCCGGCTCAGGCCGGAGGCCTGGCAGGTCCAGCTCCTTTTCCCGCTCTCCTTAGCCTTCCTGGTGCAGCGAGTGCAGACTGGCTGATCGATCTACAGTAGGTGGGGACTTCTACTAAAGGCTTCAATCAGAAAGTGAAGTCAACGAGAAGTGACAGATTGTATCGCTGTGAGGTCTTCAAGAGGTGCCATGTCGATAGCGGCGCGCGCATCGCACCAGTGCAGGGAGTGCGGTACCAGCACAGCAGCTGACGACTAAGCGCAACACCGCATGTGCAACACAGAAGGCATTCACGTGGAACAGACAGGGTGGTGGCAAGACTCTGTGCTTCGTGTCCGTGATGGGTCTGTGCCCTGCCACGGTCCCACCATCTGGTCTGACAAGGATGGCACTAGGCCACCAGGCTAGTTACTTGGCTGACTAGTCGATTCGACCGCCCATACGCCCTGGTTGCGATCCAGGGCAGCATATGGCAGCAGAATCATGGGGCGCAACAGTGTGCCTCCAGCCTTCACGAATGTGACCAAGTGCGCGCACGCCCCCGTGCCGACACCCAGCACATCCAAAAAATGGCACGCCTCCTCACACCTGGGCGGTGGGTACCCTGGAACCTTCTCTTATACGGATGGGTTGACGATTAGGCAGGTGTCGCTGGGTAGTTATAGGCATTGTCAGAAATAGGTGCTGTCTAATCTATCAGGAGTGGGAATCATTCAACACATTTAGTGCAAGCACAGACCTCCATCTCCCTCTTGCAGCTCCGAAACACTTGCCTATAAATAGAAGCCTTTGTTGAGCAAACCCAGCATACAGTGCCGTACATGCTCCATCACGAGAGAAAATGCAGCTGTGTGTGGCCTTGCCACCTTGTAATAGAAGCTGCCGTGCGGCTGCTGCTGAGCTTGATTGAGCGTCAAGCATAGAAAGCGGTCTGCACACAGTACTGCAGAGTCCTAGAGTCCACCCGGGACAAAAGTCCCTTGCTGCCAGGAATATTGTTGCGGCATGAGCCCGTGGCACGTGCCTATTGTGGTGTGCCTGTATGTATGTGGCATGCTGTCCGTGGTCGGCCGCTGGCGCACAAGAGCAGGTTCAGCAGCTTGAGCGGTACCAGGAAACGGCATCAGTAGTCAGGTTTGGCTCGCGCAGGGGGAAAGCTAGCCAGCAAGACGTAGACTAGCCGCACAGCCGATCATGAACGACAAGAGCGAAGAAGAAGCTCACTGTCTTTCTTTTCGCGGTCACCGATTGGTATTTGGTAACCACCGCGCGGCTGAACAGCAAAGGGTAGGGCGATGATTGGCCGTGCCATTCCACTTGATGTTTCAACCTTTTATTATTACATTCTGAAGTGACTCAGCTGGACCCCTCGGACTCCCGATAAGCGCGTTCAAGACTCGAGCGGGTCGCAGGCAAGCAGTGCGCTGGTTCCACATTGCCGCAGCACAGGGGCCCGTTAAAAATGTCTATAAATGTCCGCAACGTGTCAGGAACCTGTGATGTGTGCACGCATGGTTGTAGCCCGCCAAGCCGAGGCTGCGGCGGCAGCTCGAGCTGTTTGGCTGACCACCCTCACTCGCCACCACAGCGGCAGTGCAGCAGTTCAGCAGCAGCGGCGGTGACGGCGGTGGCAGTACCCACAGGCAGCATCGCCATACCGCTTCAACTCCATACCCTCCAGCCCCGAACGCCCATCCGCCCCTCTTCTGCGCAGGCAGCGCGCCAGGATGCGGGCTGCCGCCGTTCTTATCCTGCTCGCCGGCGCTGCGGTGCTCACTGCGGCCGGTGCTGCGCCTGCCGCCAGCGAGGCTGCGACTGCCCTCCCAGACGCCGCGGTCGCCGCCGCCACCGCAGCCACCAAGCTCGCCCACCAAACCCCCTCCCCTGGCGCTGACGACGCCGACGGCGACGACGAGCCCCTCTTCATCTCCCCCGAGGAGGCGGCGCAGCAGATCGCCGCCGCCGCAAACCCCGCTGCCTTCGCCGACCTCGACCTGCCGGCCCCCGCCCTGGTCATCCACCATGGGCCGGGGAACGTGCGCGTCGCCCGCGAGTTTGCGCCCGGCGGCTCGAATGACAAGGCGGGCCGTGACGCCGCCGCGCAGCGCGTCCTCGCGCGCTTCAAGACCAAGAAGGGCGGTGAGCCACGCACCCCGGGGGCGAGGACCAGCACGACCCGCGTCCCTCTTCGCGCAAGCCTCACCAGTCGCTGCTTCAGTGCCGCAGGCGCGCCTTGGCATGCTGTTGTCAACTTCCAGTGTGTGCGAGCTGCTACAATGGTTCACACCCGATCACCCCATACACTTGCCCCTGAACGCCAGCTGTCACGACGGGCACCAGCCGCAAGTGCTCCTACCCCCTGAACCAGCTTTACTTCACAGAGGACTCAAACAAGGTGAGGCGCATGCACCATGGGATCAAGGCAGCAATGCGCTGCTGGGCTGCCCGCCGACGAGGTCATGCTGCCCCGCTTGCCATGCGGCCGTTGGCTTGAAAGCTCACCATCTTTTGGCCACCCCCAGCTCTGCCTGATGTGCTGCCAGGCTGCACTCGCGGCCCCCACCCCCGGGCCTCACCCACCAACCGCTCCCTGTCCTGTTGCTCACCCCATCCGCTCCCCTGCCCCTGCATAACCCTCCAGACCATCTCAAACCTATGGCTGGGCTCCTACTCCTTCAACTCGTACACGTTCGGCAGCGGCAACGCCGGCCGCAACGGCCCCGGCAAGTTTGGCGCCGCCTGCCTCAGCCCGCCCCGCTGGGGCCCCGCCTTTGAGACCACCTCAAAGTGCTCCCTGGCGCCCCCGCCGTTCGCCAAGGGCATGGCGCAGCTCGCGCTCTTCAACGTCTACCGGGACCGCCCCGGGGACCAGTTTGGCGCGATGACCGTGGTGACGTCACTCAAGTACTACTACGGCAAGGCCGGCGGCGTGGAGCGCCAGGAGATCGTCGCCCAGTACTGGAGCCCCACCCGCGGCTTCCTCACGTCGTTCGACATCGCCACCGGCCGCCCCGTGACGGAGCTCTCCGGCAACCGCGCGGTGCACTTCAAGGCGCCCCCAGGGGCCGTGCTGGGGGAGCGGCTGACGACCGCCTGCAGCGTCGCCGGCCAGGACCGCAAGAACCCAATCCGCAAGCTCAGCTCGGTGTCGCGCGCCTGCGCCATCAAGCGTGAGCCTCGTTGGGCGGGGCAGGACAGCGCCACGCTGCGCTGCGCTGCGCTGGGAGGGGGGCGCAGGCAGAGAGAAGCAAATGGAAGCTGGGGCTCCTTCTTGCCCGCTTTGGCAGGGTAGCTTGGACACAGAACGGGTGGCTGAGTACGTTTAATACACGCATATGAACCACCGGGGCTTGGGCAGCCCTGTGCGTGCGCGTGCTTATCAGAGTGACTCATAACATCCTGACTACGACCCTCCAGCGCACATCAACACCCCAACCACTCACACTGCATTGCCAAACTCGTCCATGGCGCCAACACCGTGGTCCTCCCCAAAACCAACACTAACCCCACATCAATGTCGGGCTACCAAGAATGCTGACACCTCCGACCATCCCACCACCTTGCAGCCACGTGGTACCCCGACACCCGCACCTTCCCCAGCTCCAACCAGGCCGAGCTGTACGGCTACCAGGTGAGGACGACCTCACGCAGATTACTGCATCGCTGAATCACAATCAACAGGGGGGCGCAAACCAAGCGTTTCTGGTTGGCGACGGCCCCGAGGCACTAATGCTTGCGGCGCATAACTAAGCAAATTTGTTACGGCACCAAACCTTGCACGTTTGGTGGTTGTGGTGGTCTGAACCCCCATGCCGTTTGATTGAGGAGCCTGCACAGCAGAATGCTGCAACAGCATGGCCTGACACCAAGGGATGACGTCCGCTCTCCCACCCGCCGTCCTGTCTTCCCATCGCAGTGCAAGTAAGCCCACACCTACCTCTCCCCGGCATGGGCGACGCTGCCGGCGTTGTGATGCGGCGGTGGCACTGCAGAGGGGCTCCTGCCATGCAGAGGCGGGAGTTGCCCGCCAACATCCGTCATAGTCGTATGGTAAATTGTGTTGTAGCGGCGAAAAACTGTGTGGCGTACTACAAACAAGATCAGTGCATCCAACGGCAGGGTAGTCCGGCGGTTGCACCAGGCCAACACAACAAGCAAGATCAAAGGCACAACCCACACAACCTGCAGTGCAGTACTGCACTGTGCACACTTCATAACTGCGATGGCACGTGCGCGAGGTGCCGCTCAGGCGCCCACGCCCATGCGAAATCCACCAGCCCGCGCACCGCACCTACATCAGCTCGTTACTGAAGCGCCACACCACACTACGGTCGCCTGTTGCGCGCCACCCCCTGCATCCACAGTCTGCCGTCATTATTAGATCGTACGAGCTGAATGCGTGCTGCAAGCTATTGGACCCTGGGCGCCTGGGAGTGGGATTTTATCATTCAACACTGCTGATGCAGCACTGAAAAGCGCGCCGCAACTCTTGTTTTTATTTGTGAACTTCCTCTGTTTCAGGGGGCCGCGCATACAAGGAGGGCGCCACTCCGCCGTGCGTGCAACGCGCTCACACCCCACAAGACTGTGCGCCTCGACCCTCCTCAGTGCTGTGTTCCTTGGCACAATGGGCCCAGCACATGTAGCTCTGCTTGTTTGAGAATGGGTAAACGCCGCACCTCTCATATTACCTTTTAGCACCAAGCTTTAAGCACTCCATGCGGGCCCTCCGGTGAATCATGTCAGGACATCAAGGTAGGTGCTCAACAGGGCGTGCGCCAGTCTGTCAGGCCCCTTGCCATGGACTTTGCCATGGTGCACAACACACGGCCTCAGAAAATGAGAATTGAGGATGGATAGCCATCAACACACGCATGTCTCGTTCGCCTGGCAACAGCAGTGCTGTGCGGTCAAGAGGGAGGGCTGCCAGTGCACCGGAGCCGCTTGGCCTGGGCTCCTTCCGCTGCAGCATCACAGAAAATGGGCTTCGACGTTTAAAGTGCACCAGTGGAAGCTCGCTGATCAAAACGCCAGAGTGCTGCAGCTGGCAGCTGCACACATTGAACTGGGACAACGGAAGTGGGCCAGGCAGTGCCATTCCAGCATGGTTTGCCCTAGTGGGGAAGGCCGGCAGTCGCGACAATTAGTACCCCATCGAACATTAAAGTATTCGACAGCCGTGCGTCTGGAGATCTCGCGTGTGGCAAGAGGAGAGTTTTGCATGTGCCCGGGGACCTCCCGGCCTTTCGCCGACCACAAGAGACGCCGCTCAAAGATGAGAGTATAGTGTAGATGATGCTCAGGAGGAGCGGAGGGGCGTGCAGCTCGCCCAGCAGGCGCACTCTTGGCCTGCGACACTGTGGCTCGCAATGGGGCAACGTTGCCAGGTTGGTAAAGTGCACGAACATTCCCGGGGGTGGTCGCGTTCGACGAGATTGCGTCCTGCCAGCAGGCCTATCTGATCACGCCTGCATTCGCACTCGCGCAGGCTTACTTGGCACTCCGGGGTCTCCAGCATGCCAATGGTATATCAGCAAGTAAGTAGACCTGCGAACAGCCGTGCTGCTTTCGTGCTGCATGTTGCGCTTGCCGCTGCACCGCTGCGGACCGCATGTTGCCTGTGCGCATCCCATGCACCTCCATACAGACGCGTCCCGCCTGCCCCATTCACGCCCTTTGCAGGCCCACACAGCATGCAGGGCCGCTGCTCGCAACTTGCATGCGGGTGCTGGTCCTGCCACGGCGGCTGCGGCTGCGGCGGCGGCGGCGGTGCGTCAACACCCTTGGGCGCGGTCCTGCGAGGCGTATGAGCTGCACACCGGCAGTAGCCATCTGCACTCGTCGGGGCAGCAGCAGCAGCAGCAGCAGCAGCAGCAGCAGCAGCAGCAGCAGCAGCAGCAGCAGCAGCAGCAGCAATGGTGTCAGCACTGGCAACAGCCGCAGCAAGTGCAAAAGCCTCATCAACAACGGGACAACCAGCAGCAATGGCAGCAAGAGCAGCAGCAGCAGCGGCAGCAGCGGCAGCCGCAGCAGCAGCAGTCCCACCGCTACCAGCAGCAGCAGCTGTGGCCCGCCCAGGGGGTGCGGCAGCCGGCAGCGGCTGCGCACCGCGACAGGGGCGACACCACACCCGCCGGCCTGACCGCCAACGGTGCCACTACCGCTGCCGCTGTCCTGAGCCAGAGCCCAGCGGCGGCGGCGGCGTGGCTGGGAGCTCTGGAACACGAGCCCCCTCAGCAGCAGTCGCAGCAGCAGCATAACGACGTGCAAGGCAGCGTGTCAAGACAGGCATCGAGCATGTCGCAGCAAACGCAGTTTTCGCCGCCGGACCAGCAGCCGGAGGAGGCACGGGTGGAGGGGCAGGCGCTTCTGTCCGACGGACGGTTTGAGCAGGTGATGTGCGCGATCACGCAGGTGTGCTACAGCGTGCGCCAGCTGCAGGTCACGGTGGACGACCCTGCCAACTCCTCGGTCATGACCGCCGCCCACTACGCCGCGGCCCTCCACAAGCTGGCCCGGCTGGCGGAGCAGCAGCAGCAGCAGCGGCGACCACAGCAGCAGCATCAGCAGCAGCAGCAGGAACGGGCCCCCGCTCTTGCAAGTGCGGAGCGAGGCGGCAGCGGCGGCGCCCGCCACGCCGGGGGCCTGGGCGCGGACGCCGCTCGAGGCCCTGCAGCAGCGCTCGCGCAAGCGTCGCCGCCGTGGCCGTCGCAGTCGCTGCAGCGGCCGCAGCAGGCGGCCCGGCTGGCGGCGCGGCTGCTGGCTTCGTTCCAGGAGCGCATGCACGAGGCCGCGCCGCGCGATCTGGCCGACGCGGCCTCCGCGGCCGCCAAGCTGCAGGTGCTGCCGCGGCGCTCGTGGGCGCGCGCGTACCGCTCCGCCGTCTCGTCGCTGCTGGAGCGAGGCGAGTTCGGCAGCAGGGAGCTGGTCAGGGCGCTCTGGGCGTCGGCCAAGCTGCACCAGCAGGAGCAGCGCGGCGCGGTGGCCGCGGCGCGGCGGCTCCTGCGGGAGGGCGGTGGCGGCGACGCCGCGGCGGGCGGGGG